CCGGTCTTTGAAGGCCTAGCGGCAGCATTCATGGTGGTATTCGGAATCAGCATCGTCGACTACCTATAGTCCAGTCGGTTTCGTTGAAAAAGCGATTTATCAGTTGGGGATCATTCCTCGTCAGTTTCGTGACTAGCGAAGGAAATCAGAATAACATATTTTGGTTATACTAATTAGTCAAAAAGTATGTCGCTCACAACGCCCCCAACGGGCTCACTCATAAAAGGAACGAATTTTTCTTTATCAAAGGCTGGACCTTTTAGTTACTGAGAAAAAATGGTTTTCATGTGTGAGATTCTTTGTACACCTAAAAAGGTAAAATAAACTTTTCTATTATGCAGAAAATGCTCTCTCTTTCACTCTTAATTTTTTATTAACAGCCTCCAAGTTTTTCTTTTGAGGTAATCATGATGATACTTGATTCTGTGATACCGATAACGAATAAATGTCCAGGTGGTGATAAAATTAGTTCTAAGTAATTGTGATATTTATTTAACTTAAATTAAAATTGGATGTATAACCAAAATGTTGATTTATAAATGAGATGAGTTCGTCGTGTATTGTTTCTGTAACTAGTTTTGTCGGTGTTGCTCTAAGTGAAGAGATAGAATTGAATTTTGTTTTTGTTATGTTTTTTTAGTTATTGCTGAAAGGAATCAATTGATTTTTTTGATATTAGTATGCTTTAAATTGAAGAAGACAAGAACTAAACTATTGGATAAATACAAAAAAGAATTTTCGTTACTTTTTCTAGATACGTTCGACATATTTATTTCATTTCTTGCTGGAGCTGGTCTTTTCTGGTATTTCAGTTTTCTTTCAGCTTTTCTCGTATTTTCATCGGCTGACTTTTCAATTATTTGTGCTTGTTCAAATTCATTTGTGCTTGACATTTTAGTGAATGATCTTGTTTCGAATTTTTTTATTCAAGTATAGTTTGAAATAATTTTTCATTATTATCAATTTTCTTTTTACTGAATTATTGTTACAGTCTAAATATTGTTCACACCATTTTTTTCTTAATTTATGTACTGCTAATTGTTCTACCATTTTTTCTCGTTTCGCATATGTTCTAAATAGTTGTATGGACACATCTTTTTTTCTCTTACATATAATGCTTCAGACCGCCAATCTATTAATACTTGAGTTGTATCATATGTGTTTTATTCATCTGTCTCTGTTCTTGTACTCATTTTGATTGATGGTTCAACATTGTTTTCATCATCACTAACATCATACGTTGCTATTTTATTGAAACATGTTGATAATATGATGATTCTTTTTACGATAATAATTAATGTAGAGTCAAAATCTGCACGTGAATGAAATAAGATATTTAATAGAGATAGATATAAATCGTTTTGTATTAATAAAGCAATAGGAAAAAAATATTTTATGCCATTTGCCAATTGTCACACTTGTTAAAGAGTCAATAAAAGATTAACGCTTTTTTGTCATTCTTTTCATCTTCCACTGATGATAAATTTTTTTGTGATTACTGAATGACGGATTCTTTTACAGTGAAATTTAAATCCAGCATCAAGTATATAATCTAATTCAACAATTTTATTCTTCGATTTTAAACGTATCCCGATAAATGTAATATCATTTCGAAATTGTAAACGATTAGAGCGTAACTGATATTGAAATACATAATAGTTGATCAGCAAATACACGTATCAGATAAACATTAACCTAAAAAGAGATACAGACGACAAAATGCAAACGAAGCATAGGTCGTCAAACTTTGCAAGATAAATGAATTAAAAACTATTATTTATAGAAAAAAATAGTGTTCATAATTGCATTTGTAGAAATATTGAATTTTGTGATGTTGAAAAGATTTTATTTGAAAAATAACATATAAATTAGCAGAGAGCATCGATTAGTACACAGAAAATATCAATAACGAAACAAAAACTGATTTTATAATATATATAAAGAGCAAAAATAAGAAGACCTGCCATTAGAAATATAAAATGATTTGAATTACAAAAAAGTAGAAAGAAAAGAAGGCCAATAACTTGTTGGTCTTCATAAATGGTTTAGTTGACATGCACATATACAAAATCAATAGAACACCGGCTATTTTCTAACTAACGGTGATATTTCAGCACATTTATCAACTACCTTGTGACACTTGACGCAATGGTTCTTGTAAATATGACGTTAATGTATCCATCTATTATAACAGGGAAAATATATTCTTGTTAAAACTAGTTTAACCATTCAATTCTGAGAAACTAAAATTCATATCTCGCGCTTTATTTCCCTAGTCCAGTCAGCAACAGATCACTATAATCGTTTCTCGAAGCTAAGATCATCTGTAAATGCTTCTTACCTTAGCTTTCAACATTCCTAATTCAACATTAGATTTTGAAACCATGCATAAAAGTTGATTGGCAACAGCAGAAATAGCTAGTTTTCCTTCCTAGAATGAAGAAACAAAGACTTTAAATAGGTTAATTATTGTTTCAATGATTAATCTTTGTACATACTTCAGAATCAAGCAAAATCATATTAAGATCGCCGGCACCAACACTATTTCGAATTGTTGATGTTACACGCGTACGTTGATGGGCTGCCCACATACTACTTGCCATGGCAGCAATAATTTTTGCATCTTTTCCCCCGTCAAATCCAGAATAAGCTAGTAAAGCACCGTCACGTGTCAAAAGTCTGAAAAATATTAAATTTTAGTTAAACAGAATCTATAATCTAGTATTCATTATTTCTTTACACTGTACTTTGAATACCACCGCTTGTCACTTGAGCTAAAACGTCACTCAATGCCTTTGGTTTTAACATAGTTGAAATCAATAACTTTAGAAAAACAAAATTAACATCTAAAACTGTATAAATGAATATTGAAAAATTTTCTAAAAAATAGTAAAGATTTTTGCTAATAATGTTTAGTTGTATTAGTGGAAATGTTAACGAAAATAAGAAACTTTTTTTTTTTTACAATAGTTGAATTCGTAGCCTTTTTTGCTGTCTCTCTATTACACACGAAAGTTCAATGAAATATTTTATATAAAGAGACTATGAGTATCATTGATATACTGACATAAAATAATCGTCAAATTCTTTTCAAATTCATTTCTATCATCACTTTTGTCTATTCTAATTTTATTAACGAAGTATGCATAATTAGTTAAGAAACGTTAAGTAACACAAAGTCTTTGTGTTTTCTTTCTACAACATGTGTACGTTTCACTCAAGGAAAAACGATGTAGTGGTGAGAGGCTTTGTTTTTGTAATCTAGAGCAGTTTTCCATTCGAATAGTTCATAATTATTATATAATAATTAATATCAAGTATTATCTCAATAAATAACTGTGTATATTTTAGAAAAAATGACTTCTCTTCGAATTGATTATCATCTATTTGCCATTGAAAGATACTAAGAATTTCTTATAAAACAATGGGAAATTATTTTGTGTCAATTGATATATCAATATGACTGGATTCATCATCAGATTAAATTCAGACAAACAAGGTCAGATTATTTAGTCTCTAATGCTAAATTTTATCTATACATTAAAATTATCTCCATAGTTTCTAATGAGATGGCATAAATTCTTCTCCATTTTCCACTAGTTTAGAAGGTTATTTTTCTTTAAATGAAGTCGTATTTTTATTCTTAACTATAAAAACTTGTTCAAGCATGAAGGCAAAACAGTGAAGATTTCAATCAAATGTTTTGCTCTGACTGCAATACAGAAATACACGCTTTGAGCGCCGACAAGTCAAATCTACAGAAGAATTAATCATTATATTTTGCCTCATTTCTATTTAAATATGATTTGTTAAGGCTATACTATTTTTGTCTGCCGAATTCTCCGTGACTACAAGTAGTCTATAGCCTTTTTACTCAAATATTCACCTTCATTTTTGTATTGTTGACGTATAGCACAATAGTCTTCAATTGTTTACGTACCTTGTGTGTATAAGCGCTATTATACGATGATACTAATCATTTTAAAAGAGAACTGATCTGAAATATTTATTAAAAGCTACGAACTTCTTAGAGAGAGCTTGCCAGTATAGTTTCGCTCGATTGCCGAGTATAAAACGTTGATTGACGGAAAATTACATGTTCGATACCACATAAAATATAAGGGCATGTTCTACCTGTAAAGAGAGAATAAACTAGATTCATTTGCTTTTGAAACTAGTGGACAAAACAGGACAGGTAATAATTATAGAATTAATACGATCCTTCTTCAAAATACTACAAATTAAACTGAATTCTAATTAAAAAATAATTCTGAAGTATCTAAAAGATAGATCTTATTTTACTTTCATATGATTTGCAAACATTATTAAGTAAGAAACACAAATCCATTCATCTATTTAAAGAACTTTGAAAAGAAAATTCACAATAAAAAAATATGAATGTGTTCGTTTTTTATTTTAGGTGAGTCGTAAGTATTTTTTTGACTTCGTTATATTTTCTCCGTTTACGCATTGACCTTCCGTCACAGAAAAAACCTTATACGCAATAGACAAATTTTTTTTTCGTTGTTTAATTAGATAAACCATATTCCATAATAGACATACACATTTATCATCAAAAATGCTTTAGAAAAGCGTCTAACAAAAGAAATGGACGGCTTTTCAACAAACAACAACATTGAAGATAGAAATATTAATACACATTATCAACCTGATTATGCAATAAGTAATCAAGATAAAACTCAACTTCGCCAATATCTTGGAAACTTAGGAGGCTATGAAACGTATGCATCATCAACTACACAATTACCACATCCGTCTGTTTCAAGAAAATATGAACAACAACCAAATCAATTAAACAGTAGAAATAGAAACTACGTTAATTCAAATTTCGCTTTATCGAAAAATGTGGCGTCAAATAGCCCATTAAATATACACCAAAGAACCATTGCAACACAAGAATTTATCTATCCACCTATACCAAATAGAGTGAATAGACAAAATTCAGTTAATAAAACAGTAAGGCATCAACGATCAGAATCTCTCAACATGGCAACATCACCAACAAATACACAATTATTTTCTGATAGAAATTTTGCACCTTACGGTTGGAGCACAGAGATAGTTAATTCAAATGTTTCAGATTCAATAATTAACGATGCATTTCCTGATCAACTATATACCAGTTCATCGACAAATGTGTTAAATACAAATGTATCGAGTAATATTGACCCATCGATATCATCCCTTATTTCAGCACCACCAGGTTGGCAAACAGAACGTATTTCTAATCATAGTACAGGTTCAAGAAATTATATCAACACAACAAATGAAGTGTTACATCCACCTGTTATAACAACTACAAATGTTGTTACATCACCAACAGCTACAACAAGTTGGCGAACGGATAACATTCGATCCACTAATGGTTTATCATTACCAACATCCTCTCAATATTACAGCAATGTTGTGGATCAACGACAGTCTCGACTACGGTCATTCAGTGCCGATTCACATCGTTCATCTAGTCCTTGGAATACAATAAACTCTACTCAAGCGCCATTAATTACATCATCATCACACTCATCGATAAGGAATTTAGTTCATTCTCAACAACCACCATTAATTATTCGAAAACATCTTCCAAATGATCTCGTTACATATAAACAGAATGTTTCAGTACGATTTCTTAAACCTCCAACTCCACCACCGCCTGGACCAGTTATTATTCGTGAGTACAAGAAAAAGATAAACGTATTTGCTTTCCATAATTACTAGATCTATACAAAATATTTCAGGTGAGGTTCGACCGCCTCCACCACGTCCTCAATCACCAATTCGGGTATGTAAAATTTCGAAAAGTTGCTCCATTTCATGCAAGTAACAAAATAATATATATTATAGTACCGTCAAAGACCCCCACCTCCACCTACACCACCACCGCTGTTTTTAAGGTCAGTTTATAACAGGGAAAAAGTGTTTTATTCAATTATACCAATCACAATGTAAACGAGAAACAGTAAACTTTAATTTCTTTTTCAAGAGAAGCACCACCTCCCATACCACCACGTTTACCAACTCAAGTTGTCGAAAAAATAATTCCACCACCGCCCAGACCACCTCCACGGGTAAAGAAAAACAAATCTTGAGTTTATAGTTGCTACTAACAAAAAACTGATAAACACTGAATTTAACTAGATGGCAATCACGCTAGTGAGAGTTGCGAATGTGGTGCGAAGCAGGAACAAGAGAATGAAGGATGCGGCAACAAAGAACTCAGTTTTCTCGGAGCTATTCTAACTTGGCGAACTATTCCTCGTAGAACGGAAGGAGAAAGAGTATTTGTGTAAATTTTAGAGAATTTCGGAAAAAGTAGAGAGTTTGAATTCTTTATCTTGACTTGAATACAACCTCGGAGAGAGAGTGATGATCGAAATTGATTAATTCCCTTGTTAAAGAAACTTTCTACCATAATTATGCTCTCTCTTGCAACTATGCCCTAACCTAGAGATTTTATCATACACACTGCGTTATTATCGATAACACAGTAAGGCGTCTAGGCGCTAGTCATTGCGTTAATTATTTATTGAATAGATATAGAGCATGGTCGTAAAGTGAATCACAAGATATGCGAATACTCTGCTTTAAAAGTGCTGGTATGACTCAGATTAATTATCCGTTTTTTTTTGAAAAAACTACAAATTCCAAACGTTCAAAACACCTTCTTTCGAGCCTTCTGGTTAATGATTGAATTAGCCACAAAGTCTCAAAAGAGGACATTTACTCATTCAGCCTCACAGCTCCCGTTTAAAATTTTCAGACAGACCTTCTAGTTTACGAGAAATTCGTTATAGAAAATGAGTTTTGTACCGTAGAAAGTAAACACGCAGTTTATTACCAGAATGCGTTCGATGCTTCGCACCACATTAATTAAGTCAATGATATCAGCACAAAACGACCTAATATTTCTTTTTCAGATCATCGTTGAACGCCTCGGCGCTCTGCCTGCAAAACCTCGGGATGTTGTTATTGAAAGATGGTTGCCCTATCGTCAAAATCGAAATCGAAAAATATTCTACGAACGAGATTCAGTACCTTACAAGTAAACAGTCATCTGTCGTATACTATATAGAATAAAATCACCTATTTCCTTTAGTTTAATATGCCGATAAAAGTTAAAAAAAGATGATCCGCATATTTCTAATCTGTGTTCGCTGACACTTTCTTTTACTTTCATGTTTCTTGTGAGAAATGTTTTTCAGACGGAAAATATATTCACTCGTGAAAACTTTTGTAGCATTTGAAAGCTTTTGAAAGCATTTGTGTAACTAACTACAATGGACTATTGACAATGACATTTTATTTTTTTATCCTAGCATTATACGAGAACCAAACGAATTAATTTTACATGCGTCTCCACACGCTCGTATTCATCGACAATTTATAAATGAAGGTGTCGTGCATGCTGATCCTGAACTTTATCGTAGGCAATATGCTGCTGACTTAGACGGTTACAGGTCACATCCTGAGTTTGCACATGTTATTAATGAAGCATATCATCAAATTCCTCCACCCTCATTACACGCCAACTATTCATCTAACATATCTAGCTACGGTTACGATAACTATCCATATAATTATTCTTCTGGAGCCGGATTATCATCGTACTCCGGCAGGTATCATGATTCATTTTTGTCATCAATGGGAGATAGAATGAAATACTGTGGTCAACATTCTGGGACTCTACTAAATGATTATCCAATATCTGATAGAGTGAGAAGCTATTCGCCGTCGTTTACAGGATATTACAACAATTCAATACACACTAATCTAAATCCAACTTGGGGAACATCAACTTCTCAGCCTTATTCCTATAGTTCATCGTCGTATGGTTGTTCGTCAACTTCTCGGCCTTATCCCTATAGTTCATTGTCGTATGGTTATTCGTCACCGTATAGTTCATATCATGACATCATTAATAGAACTGATGTAACCCCATCATTCGACCGATATTGTGGCAACATATCCTCATATTACCCACACTCATATTCCTCTTCAGCGCATTATCCTGGTTATCATCGATCATACGTTGATAACGTCATACGTGTTAGTTCCGAAAATGAATTTCAAAACGTTATGGGAACATTAACAAACGGACATTCGCCCCGAATAATTACACACTGTTAATTTGTTAATATCACCGACGTGTTTAGTTCAGAAAATATATAAAGATTCTAGCAAGGCTTAAGCTTTTTTAAAAGTGATATTCTTTCTAACTATTTTACAAAAAACTTCACATCTACAAAAAAATCATCGTTCAAATTTTCTCAGTATCTAACCGAGTAGAATAGTCGAATGTTCTATCAATCGAAAATACGAAAACATTAACTGGGTATTAATTACTTTTTATTCTTATTCCAATTTGTAAAAAATATTTTCTAACACAAAACTTCTGCAAATATCACCAACTTCGAACCTACAAGATTTTAAACAAACAAGGTGTCAACTCACTGTCAGAAGAAAAAAACAGACGAATATTTCGATGTATACAGATTATACATAATCTATCATTAATTTTTCCACAATAAAAAGATTTTTAAGACTTTTCCTAGCAGTATATTTTCTTGAATAAAAAATTACATCATATACAATGTTAACATACAAAATCTGTTATTTTATTCTTTTACTTATAATAAATAAAAAATAGACAAAAAAAAAAATAGGAAAGAAAAAGATTTTTACTTTTAAGGTTTTCTTTGTTGTTTTGGCTGCTTTAATATATTTCCTTCACCAGAAAACGGTGTAAATACTTGATTTGTTGATGAATTTTGCTGTTGTTGACTATCTTTATCATCGTCTTTATTTTTTTTCAATCGATTATGCATAAATTGTAATGTACCATATTCATAATCATAATTTGGAATAGCTATAAACAAATGACATAATCAATAATACTCATATTTCTAATCAAATTCACATATGTTTGATTATTTTATCTGTGCTCAAGAACCTTTTAAAGAAAATATTTCACTCGAAATGTCTCTTACGGGTATTTATTCTTGTTCTGTATTCTGTTTAAACACTCAAAGATAACAACCCTCTTAAATGTTATTCCGACAAGAGCATATGATGGTTGATTCAACCATTTTATTACATACCACGTTGTTGATTCATCATTTGTGCTGCTTGTAATTTTGTTTGTTGTTCAGTCAACTCATGTCCTTCTTTTGTTTTTGTTTTTCCGTCTAAACGATTACCACGTCCGTGAAATGGCATAAATGTCGTTGATTTTAAACTATTTGGATATTGTTGTTCCATATTTGTACCACCCTGAATAGATGTATCATAACTTTTTGGTATTGATGACGATGATGAGGCCGTTGTATCATATTTAGGCTCAACATAATCAATGGGTGGGGCAAAATCAACCTCCATGTCACATTCAATTATAGTAACAGCATCAGCTGGTTTTAATTCAAGTACACATAATTCATAATTACGATCAAGATAATTAATTGCTAACATATCACCTTTGGTTAAACAACTAAAATTTCTTAATGCCGTTTCTAATACCGCTTTTGGATTGGATATATCAAGAAAATCTTTTGATTGTGGTTGAAATCGTACAAAACTAGCCGTTGGTAATGTAACATATTCACATTCAACTTCTTCACCCTCTTCCAATAGTAAATGTCTCATTATCCAACTTGGTACGTAACAACTGTTTTCATCATTGGGAAGAAATTCAAATACACCCACATGTGTTATACGATCAAGACGTTTATTTTTTAATTTAAATAACATAACATTCGTTACATGTTCAGCTAATTGTTCCAATGCCACTTGTGGTAATAATATTTTGCCACCATTTTCGACATTTGGACGTTCACGGTCCGTTAAAAATATAGCTGAATAACAATTATATAGAGCACGAAATGTTCCTACTCCACCCATACCGCCCATACGAGCTAAATGTTGATGAAATAATTGTGGATTAAATAATAAATTCATTACTAAATATCTTATTTATATAGAAAAAAGAAATTGAAAGTAGTTCTAAAACAAAAATAAAAATACATATTTTCAAGATCGGTAAGCAAGAAGAATTTTGACCATTTTTTCAGCCAACTAACTGAAATGTTTAGCTAGAAAAATATTTAGAATATATGTTGTTGATCGTTGTGTACAAGATGGATATTCCACCGAACGATTAAACGTAAATTGCAATCACATTCATATAAATCGTTAAAAAATCTGATTCTCATGTCAAAAATACCGATCTTTGAAGAATTTGAGACATTCAACATGCCAACAAATTTCATCTTTATCTACTGCCTCAATCATTTATCATTTTTATCTAAACTTTTTGTTTCGTAGTTCCTCAGCTTGAATTAGGTATATACATGTAAAAACTATCATTAATTATTACATCGATTTCCAGTACAATTGCCAACACTGTAAAAACTACAGTCTTATTAGGCATATAGACCTTTATACTACGGTCACACTACAACTTTAATCGTATTTCTGATTCTAATCATAAATTAATTGCACATAGAATTGATCGTGATTTACAATTTTGTAATGTGACAGCAGTCGTAGTTCCTAGTCAAAATAAACTCGTGTTAGTTGTTTTCTTTAACGCTATTTTATTTATGTTTATTTTCATCGTTTCTTTATCTCTATGTTGTTGCATACTCTAGTTTCTTTTGTTTATCGCTATTATTTCTTTTATTTTTATTTTCCCCTATTTCATTTTTGTAGTTTGGCATGAGTCATTGATACTACAGGGGAGAGGACCTTTGATGACTCTCACTTTTCGTGAATAAAAGATTATGAGTATTAGTATAGTGAACAATATCGTACGATAATACTAATCATGATTTGAATTTTAATCCTGATTAAGAACAGCAAAAAAATATTCACATTGTGTCAGAATAAGCTCATTTTTGTTGGTAGAATGAGCTATAAATAAGAAAACCAAAAATAATACCATTCAGATTGCGATAAGTCGTTGTTGTTTTCCCAATATATAATTGCTTATGAATGAGAGATGCTTGGTAAAATCAGAAAAACAAATCGCTTTTTGGCATCAATTTTTCAAAAATTTAACGATGATGCGATTTTATTCGGCATGTATGAACTTAATTGCGATTAAAGTTAATCTTGGCTACACTACTCATCTGTTGATGCTTCATCAAGTTAATCACACTCCACATTAATTGTGATTAGCTTAATCACAAATTAACGCTGTAGAATAACCATAGCGTTCGTTTCATAAAGTTCTGTGCAATAAACAATAAGAAAATAAACCAATCAATTTTCCAAGTTCTAGAAATTTCTCCATCAAACATACTTTAATTAATGAAACTAGTTGTATTTACTTTAGTTTGAAATAAATTAGAATTTTCAACCATTGAAACTCGGGTTGAAGAGCATCTCAGAAAATGGACACGAATAGATGGAGAGTCAAACTAAAGGCATTAGAATTTTTAATAAAAATGTTAAGCAAAGTGAGTTTCCCACTGTAATTTCTACATTACCCATTTTGCTCTTGCTTATACTAATCATTAGTGTCCTTGTCTAAAGTTAATGTAAAATGCAAATATCATAGGAAACACATCATCCCCCACCCGTGGCTTCCAACTATGTGAACTACACCGGAAGTCGACGTAATAGTGGTAGATTTCACATAAGTAATTGGTGTGATACATTTCGTGAGAAAAACTTTCTTCAGTTAGCCTGTAATAACTAGAGAAGAATGTTGTGAATGGAGCAGTACACATGAAAGCCTTGTTCCAGAACAAGATAAGTCATTTGTTTTCGAGAATAATTTTGAATAGTAATTATTGTATATTTAGTTAGTAATTTTTTCACATGACACTTTGCAGCTGATTTGTCATCAGAAAGACCAATAAGACTAACAAGAAAAACCTCGTCATTCAATTGAGTATATAAAAGCGAAAATAAATATAAGAATAATGGAAAAAAAATGCATTACATGAAAACAATGTATGATTTCTTTTCACTTCAACCTCTACATGCTGAAGTGCACTTACTTACTGCATTAAGATAAAAAGAATTATTGTATTACCGTATGCTGGCTGTTTCTATAACAGTTACAAGCAGAATGCTAGTTAATGTACGATCATGCATTTTTTCACAAAGAGCGCCTTGAAGATTATAGGATGATGACCGTTCATCAAAAGCTGAGACTTAACTTATCATATGTTTTTTTAAGACAAAATACTCTTAGTCTACGCCCTAAAAAAGGAAACGGTCATGTACCTTAGTGGTGTTTATCATATGATATGGGACATGAGGCAATGTGTCTTGAATAAAAATTTGAGAAAAGAAACAAAACATATCAATTTAAAATTGATGGCCTCAGCGTAGTCTTAGTGTGCTATCAACTGATAAATACAATTTTAGAAGAGCTCTACGTTCTTTCTCTGTCAAGACTACTAGTTTCGACAGGAAATACACATTATTCTCGGTAGCTGTAGTTTCAAGACACAGATGGGCTTTTCATTTCGAAGAGTAAGAGTATTTTATTCATAAAAGTGTAAAATATTGTCTTATGAAATAAATCTCTTTAGTCGATAGGTGAAACTTCCTATACTACGGGACAGAGATTGAATCGAATCACAATATCTGATTCAAAGATTTTTTATTCGATCCAATGTGCTAAGAAGTTTTTCATGACCCGAAATTTTTCGTGGATGATACGGTAATAACTGGAAACTAAAAAACTGTTTTTCTCGAAGGTATATTGTCGAAGTATAATCATCAGAATGCGATGTTGATCAAAATAACAAAAAAAATTAGTTACAATGAAACAGATATAGGTCAATTTTCTACTGAACGTCATTTTCCGATAAAGAAAGACACATTTTTGAGATAAATGAGTCAAACACAATTGACGAAAATCTTCTCTTTTTGTTTTCTAGTGATATGACTCGGATAAAATCCAAAATTTCTTTTTTCTCTGACCCGACCCGACTTCACTCGTTTCGATCTCTGCTATAGGATGATGTACGTTTTTGATATCATAATCACTGGCAGCAAATATTTTTTCTATTACATTGCCTCATGTCCCATATCATATGATAAACACCACTAAGGTACATGACCGTTTCCTTTTTTAGGGCGTAGACCAAGAGTATTTTGTCTTAAAAAAACATATGATAAGT